AAGGCCTTAACAGACCTGAATGGTGAGCAGAGCCCCTACAGGGACAGGCGAAGTGGTTAGCAGGCCATTGGGTGGTTGCTCTTTGTTCTACCGACCTTGATATCCAAAGAGAGAAATTGCATGCCACATTTGGTGGATTGGAAATGCCTACCACCCTTTGGGAAGATTTACCAACCTTTATAGAACACCCATGTAAATAATATGACAAAGCTATTCTTGACTTTTCCCTCAATCTTTTAAAAGAAAATTTTTGCTCCACCTAGCCCTTCTAGATTTAAAGAGGTTGCTGATGTGTATTGCAGTTGGAAAATCGCATGTCTTGTAAATGCCAATTAGTTGTTTCAAAAAAATCGTAGAAAAGAAACGCCTTCTTTCTTTTATACTTTCCCAATATTATTCCCAAATGCCTCTCATTTGTAGAATTAAAACTAAATGAATGAAAGGGATTGTGTGAATTGTTGTTTGAGTTTCTTCCCTAGCAAAACAAGGGAGTATTTTAAAGGGCACAAGAAAGGAGCCCAGTTGACAATGTACAACACAGCACTCCGGTGAACTAAGCAGCACACCAGTGACCTTGGCTTTTGGTTTTCTATGCTGGATTACTATATTGCTGATGTGTCTGCACTAGAAAATACAGTGCCCAGAATCCTCTATTTGTGTGTAATTCTGAATACAAAAGTGCATCTGCACAAGATTTGAAAGGCAGATGGGAAGCAGCAGCCATTATCTTCCGAAGATCACCATTGATTAGAGATGGTGAAAGACACAGTGGTCTTGGCTGATTCCATTTTGTTATTGTTCTTCCCTGATGGCACCTGACAATAAATAACCAGCTCCACAGCACATAAAATTACCTTTATCACAGTAGTTCTCAAATGCTAAGTATATTGCATAAGCTACTGCAACAACTTACATAGGAACCCCCTGCCAATTCACCACAAGTAATTAATAATTTTGATGCTATGATCTTTCTGCACTTACCACTACCACATCTACTTGTAATAATGGGATCCTTGTTCCCTTATGGCCATGAATAACTTAATTCCAAAATCTCATTCTATGTATTTGCTCTCTATGTCCACTTCTGTAACAAATCTCTTACACTGGGTTCTTCCAGAAACAAATCTTGAAAAAATGATTATAAGTAGTTTATTTCGGAAATGAGGGAAACGCAGGTAGAGAATGTGGGATATTATATAAGAAATGCAAGTGTTTACAAGGGTGTGAAGAAACAGGAGTTCCTCTACCTCGTTAATGAGAGCAAAAAATGGTAAGAATATTTCAAGAGCAATTTGACAATTGCAAGTAAATTTTTTAAGATGTGAATCACTTCCAGGTGTATAACATAAAACATTCTATATCTATATATAAGGAAACATAATTGTATTCCGTATAGAATTTTATAAGAAAAAATTAGAAACATTCATTGAATAAAGGATTAACAAAATTCTTTCTCTTTCTACATGAAAAAAAGATTAACTTTTTAATCTCTGTTTCTCTGGAAATCCAATAAAAGTAGAATGTCAGCTATATTACCAAGTAAGACTGTTATGGTAAAAATGCTTTTGATTGATAAACTGCATCTGGACTGTGAATGGACTGTGAATACTTTTTAAGATGTCATAGTTTTGGAGCAGTGACTTTTATAATTGTTACAGGAGATACTGGTTTCCATTTGGGATATGGGGTTTCTCAGTCTGGATGGCCTGCTCAGTCTTATTCCCTCACACCTTAGCTCTTGATGTGGGATGAGGGGAGGGAGGCATTGCAAAAAGAATAATCTGTGAACTGTGTAGAGAGCTGAAAGGACTCCTCTTGAAGACACTTAGGGTGTGAAGGAAACCAATACTTATGTGGCCTGTTGAGCTTTGTAAACTTGATTGTCTAACTGAGCCTAAGTCTATCACAACTGATGGCATTGCACAATCCAATATGCATGAAAAGGGACATATAATATATTCATAAATTGGAGTACTGTACATCAGCTAAAAGCAATGAAATACATCTACATGTATAAATTTTTCTATATCTCAAAAATATCTTAGATAAGAAATCAAGTTTCACCATTACACATACAATTGGATTGCATTCATATAATTTTAAAAACACAAAACATGGCACCACACATTGTTTAAAAATATCTATGTATTAGAAATAAAAAAAAATGGACTTGAGAAAATAGTTCACAATGGGTTTGAGAGAGGGATGAAGGTATGAAAACTGAGAAGAAAAATAAGAGCGATGGCAATTTTATTTGTAATGTTTTATTTATTTTTTAAAATTTGAAATTTTACATTTATGTGTAACTGTATTTATATCAAGAGATAGAAATAATATAATATTCTTTTAAAATGTTACAATCTGCTTATATGGCAAATATAATTGCATTAGAAATTAAGTATTTCTGGTTTCTACTTTACATATATATATGTATTATATAAAGTTCTCTACATTTATAAAATCATATAAATAAAACTACTCTGACATCTCAGGCAGGGTTGTTGGTGTGAGAATGGAAAATGCATTTCCAGGTGCTTGAGGTTTTTGGTGCCAGCAGTTACATTTCCTCGGTACCAAGCTTCAGTTTGGAATTGAAAGACATTGCCATTTCTCGCTCTCATATGTAGTGTATAAAGTACCCACTGCAATCATTCTGGAACACAGGACTGCGTTGTGTTTTTAAGTCTTAAAAAGATCATCAGCCTCTCAGAGACAGTAGAGAATATAACCTGAAGAACAAGACATTAAATAAGTATATATTTCTTATAAAGAATTTTATATATCTTACTTCATTTCCAGAAATCCTTCAAATGTATATACCACAAATGGCCATATCGATATAACTTGAAAAAATAATGTTGATCCCTAATGGTATCCCCTTTGGCTTAGGTAAATCATTGGAAATAATCCACTATTATTATCTATATCTTCAAATTCCTATTCCTCTTACTCATGCCAGCATCAGGATGTACACAACAAAAAAGCCCAACCCTGCTCCTCCTCCTCCTTCTCTTTACCTTTCTTCAAGTCATTATTAACCTTGAAGGCTTCAATTAAGAAAATTAAAAAGTGTTTGTATATTTTTTTCTTCCTAGCCAGGGGAAGTCATACATCTATCACATGCCCTTCACCTTTTTATTCCCATTACAATACTTAATTAGAATATCTTCAGGGGCCAGACATTGATAAATTTTGCACATAATTATTGCAATGTTAAACAGGTAAAAATTCATTTCTAATATTCCAGCTGTTAAACCAAAAACTGGAATAAGAGTTAAAAATAAATAAAGTAACAACATCATTTGGCAGAATTGGCAAAAGTTAATATTTCACCAGTTTTGAAGATTTATAATGTGGATTTGCACATTATAAAGAATTTAAGATATCAAAAGAATAAGAACTGGTTTTAAAGTAGAAAAAAAAAAGGGATTTTGGAAAGTAGACCTAGCATTTTCTTCCTCCTTAATAGTCCTTTACAAACTACTGAAGAATTTCAGTTATTCACTCTCCTTTCTTCAGTATTCCTGACAAAGTTACTGGATGCTACGTGAGCACACCATTGTTCTAAGCCATTCAGCATCCTAATAAATCTCCTCCCTCCTAAATGAAGCACTTAAAAGGAAAGAAAATACTCAGCATAGTGTAGAATCAGGAAAAAGTTTCCAGGAAAACTACCTTAAAATTATCAAGTTGAGAGGGTAGTTAAGTATGCAAGAAGATATGCTTACAAAAGGAAGTCCACCTTTTGTTCCAAATATTGAAAGACAAAATGGTGAATGAAAAGCAAAACTCTGTGCCATGTTACAATTTTCATATTCAAAAATTTTAAGTATAACAGCTTCACACTCACCCAGCAAATCCCTGAGCACCTCCATACTGTGGAATAAGAACATCATGGCTTCACAAAAAGAATGCGATTCTATCATTTGTAATATAAAGCAAAAACAAAATTATCAGGTCCCCAACCATCTGAATGGACGTCTCTCAGCCAAGGGCATGCCAATGTTAACCTGAAAAACTAGTTTGGGCCACGATGGGAAGGGGGGACATGCCTCATATACCCTCCTCCCTTTTGGATTTCCCTTTGGGAATTCAAGAAAAGCTAACTGTCATTAACATCAACATGCACTTTAAGTCTGATAAGAAACATTTACTATCTATTCTCTCTGAAGCCTGCTACCTGGAGCTTCATCTGCATGATAAAACTTTGGTCTCCACAACCTCCGATCATAGCCCAGACATTGCTTTCTACTGATAATAAACAACTGCCAATCAGAAAATTTTTAAGTCTACCTATGATCTGAAAGCTCGTCTTCAAGTTATACCGCCCTTCCACATCAAACCACTGTATATCTTACTTGTATTGATTGATGTATTATGTTTCCCTAAACTGTATAAAAGCAAGTTATACCCCAACCACCTTGGGCACATGTTGTAAGGACCTCCTGAGGCTGTGTCATGGGTGCATCTTTAACTTTGGCAAATAAACCTTCTGAATTGATTGAGACTTGTCTCAGATACTCTTAGGGTCACAGCAGCAACTTGAATGGAACTGGAGGTCATGATGCTAAGTGAAATAAGCCAGGCTCAGAAAGACAAACATAACATGTTCATACACTTACTTATCCATGGGATTTAAAAATCAAAGCAATCAAACTCATGGAGATAGAGAATAGAAGATAAGGATAGTTTCTAGAGGCTGGGAACAGTATTGGGAGGGTGGGGGAGAAGAGGGATGTTTAATGGGTACAAAAAATTAGAAAGAATGAATAAGACCTGGTATTTGATAGCACAACAGGGTAACTATAGTCAATAACAATTTAACTGTACATTTTTAAATAACTAAAATAGTATAATTGGATTGTTTGTAACACAAAGGATAAATGCTTCAGGGGATGTGTACCCCATTTTATGTGATATAATTGTTGTGCGTTGCATGCCTGTATCAAAATATCTCATGTACCCCATAAATATATATATCTACTATGTAGCCATAAAAATTAAAAATAATTTTTTTAAAAAAGCAAAATCATTTCTACTGTGTCAGAATCTAAAATCTTTCAGAGGCAGTTATTCCCCCTAGCACCTTACAAAGTTTGTGTTCAGCTCCCTTTGCAGTCCCAGACACTGTGGCTTTCACAGCACAGAAGTACTCAGCCGTGTCACTCCACTGCACAGAGGGTTTCCTCAGGTTAAAGGAAGATCTACTCTTCATAAATTCAGCCTCAAAGCCTTTGATGCCTTTAACCAGTGTGTCCCCTGAATAGTACTTGAGGAGAAGCTGAAGGTCTTGACCAGGGTTCTGGACATACCAGAAGAGAGTAACAGTTCCACCATAGGAATAGTTGCATCTCAACTCCAGTGAGGCCCCTTCAGAAAGAATTACATGGTAGTCAGGCTGGCTCACAGACTGGGCTCTGGCATCTCCTGAAAAAATCAATATTATATCAATGAAAACAGTGCAGACTTGTCTATGAAATGTTTTTCTACTAAGATTTGAATCAGAAAACAGTTACTTCTGTGGAACTAGAGACCATAATAGAAGGTTACTCACTCAGGGCAAAAATTATCCCCAGAACTGGTATGAGCAACAGGAGCATGGCTGAGCTATGGAAACACTGCAGGCATCTCATTGGAAATTCTCCTTGGAGCAAGGAAGAAAGTGGCTGGAACCCAGGTCTTGGGAATAGCGAGTATGAGGAAGGTTGGGCTAGGCAAGTCTCTTGTTTTGGTAAAAATACAAAAAGTGCTGAGATAATCCTGATTGGTTTTCGATCTTTGATTCTCTCCGCTTGCCCCATCTTCAAAGAACTCCAGTGAGGTGCTTCAGTAAGCCAGCTGCAGGAAGAAGGGGTTGATCATCAAGGGAAATAGGCGTCTGTCCCTTGTGCAACATCACCCTCTGGAGGCCAGATGCAGGACGGAGGATACAGAAGCGAACCTGTGCTTTCCTTGTTTGGAAACATGTCGAAAACTTCCAGTGAATGTTTCTTTTTCCCTGATCAGTGCTAAGTTGCCCGCTGTGGTATATTGCATTAATCCCAGCCTCAATGAAAAGTGAGGACTGTAAAAGAGAGGAGGAATTTACAGAGAAAAAGATCACACATTAAATCTAGCAAATTTTGGAGTCCCTCAGTACTTTTGTGTAAAAGCAGTGGAGACATTCTTTAAGCAAACACAGTCTGATCAACCCTTCTGGCTGAGCTTTAAATGGCCTTGTTGCAGTGAGCACCAGATTGAGAGGAGGATGTGGTAGGATATGGAGATATCTGCTTCGGTAAAATTAAAAATAAGATCAGATGTGCAAACTAAAAGCCTAGAACATAAGCCCTCATCTAGGAAAAGAAAGTAGGATTATCTTTGTCTTCTTCAAGCAGAATTACAAAGATACTGTGGCTTTAGATCAACAAAAATTATAGTATGATATTCAGATAAGAAAGTAAAATAACAATGCCAGCTCGGAACATAACCAGAGTATTACACCCAATTCTGGGTACTACATTATCAAGACAATATTCATAGACTTTATTATCTACAGACAAAACTGAGAGGATTGACGAAAGCATTGCAAAATAAAACATAAATAATTCCTGAAGGAACTAAGGACAGAGTAAAACTACATTTGCATTTACCCTGGAATCCAAGAAGGAGTACCACCAACACACCAGAGCTAAGAAAAACATCTAAAAGGAAAACAGACATGAGCTGTTTGATCATGAAATCTGACATAGATAGGCAACCAACAGTTTCACGTAAATGAGTCAGATCTTGTAAAATAAGGTAGTGTTGATTGTGGCAACAGCAAGGCTGTTCTCCTGAAAGAAGCCTTTTCTTCCCACCCACTTCAGCTTGTAGACCCTGGGGCTAAAAGGGTAACTATCATACCAGGAGATCAATTTCAGGGAAAATGAGAAGAGAGAAACAAGCTGCCTTTCCTCAGGGTGATAGGGACCTTTTTCTACAGTTAGAAAGCCATTTTTCTGGGACTCTGATTTTTTCTAGCAACAGGAAATCAAATCTGTTTTCGGGATCCTCGTTGTCTTGCTTCTTTTTGCCTGTAGATTGTCTCTCACTTATAAGAAGTGCATGAATAATGCTTCTAATTCAGATGGCTATACCTGCTCATTGCCGATCTTTCCAAAATTCTCACTGATAAAAGGATAGAAATGTAAAGGGGATGATGATTTAACTAGAGAAGTGAAAATCACAGAAAACAACACAACTATGAGAGACTATAATGTAAATTGTAATGAGTAACCCTTCAATCTGGCATTGGTGCACTGGTGGAGAGTGGCAAGGAGGTTGAAAACAGCATCAAACCCTTAATCACATATTCTAAATAAACAGTCACAAATTAACATATGGTTGCTAAAACAAATTATCACGAACTTGATGTCTTAACAACACAAAGTTAGCCTGCAGTTCTGCAGGCTAGAAGTTCAACATGAGTCTCATTGGGTTATCAAGAATTCAGCAATATACCTTTCTAATGGCTCTAGGAGTGAATCTGTTTCCAACTTGCAGAGGCTGCGCACACTCCTTAGTTCGCAGCCCCTCCCTGCATCTTCAAAGCCAGCAATGTTTCATCTCTGATCATTCAACTATAGTCACATCTCCCTCTGACCACAGCAGGGAGTGGTTCTCCAATTTTAAAAACCTGTGTGGTTAGATTGAGTCCACCTGGATGGATGATGATCTAGGTTAATATTTCTATCTCAAAGTCCTTAACTAAATCACATCTTCAAGGAAGCCTGTTAGAAAACAGACCCACATAAACAATGACACAGGAAATACCTGTAGCTGTATAGTCCTTTCTTCTTAGAATATAAAGGGAAGATTAGTCCTCAGTATAAAGCAAGAAATATAATCAAGAAAAGAATCAGAAAGCCTGATGCAAAGGAAACAAAATTCTAAGAATAAAAGAGAATGTTCAATAATATCTACTTTAATATATCCTTAAAAAATCAACAACAAAAATTCAACAACCAGAAAGCACTCTTTAAAAACTAAAATGTTGTTGCCAAAACTTTATAAAAATTAGCAGATGGTCTGAAAATCAAAACAGAAAATCTCTCAGGACACAGAAGAAAAAGACAGAGTCAAAAATGCACTGAAATATATTACTACGTAGAAAATCAATCTTGGAGATAAAACAAGCAAATAATATTTATCCTAGAAAAAAAAAAAACAGAAGAGAGAGATTTACTGAAGAAGTGATAGAACAAATTTTCCCACAACTGAAGGACATCATATATTTAGATGAAAATAGCCCACAAAGTGTGACTGTCACTGAATTTAAAAGACTTACACTCAAACGTATTCTAGCAAAACTCTAATACCAAGGATAAGGGGGAAAATCCTAGATGAGTATGGAGAGAAAAGTAACAGAATCACTAATTGAGGTAAAAAGAGTCACACTGGAATTAGATTTCTAATCAGCATCGACAACTGTTAGAAGATTCTGATGAAAAATTATTTGGAAAACTAGAATTTTAAACTGAATTGAACACGGGAGCTGATGGACTTAACACTAGGAATATAGAATTTCGCTTATTCCCCCCGTTTTCTCTATGGCACCTCACTTCATCCTCAGATGTCTCTAGTATTCTCTAATCCAGAAACTGTCTAGTTCAAAATAACCAGATTCAACCTTTAATCTTCTACCAGATGTGAGGTAACTTGCAGCCTGTAGTTCAGGGTGGCAAAGGACATAGGAGGGTTACACTGGGTTCCATCTGCTCCTTCTTGAGGCTAGTCTTTCAATTAATTCTTATTTCTTTCCCATCTACCCTCTACACCTGATACTTTTTTCCCCATCAAAATTGATGCTTCTAATTCATGAGCATTTCCAGAATGCTGCAGAGCACAAAGGACTGCTTCCTCTCAGCTTTCCCCTCTATAGGCACAGCTTTTCTCTCTCGGTTAAACTAGTTTGTCACATTTCCATTTGATTTCAACACATTCAACATCATCTTGTTCTCTCTTGTGCTGTCACCATCTTTTCAGTTCACTTTGTGCTTGTGTGTTTATACAGGTTTTGAACTTCTTTATTAGCATTTCAGTAGGGCCTCAGGAGGGAGTAGAGAATAAACATGAATATTTAATCAACCATGTTCTACCAAAAATCTGAACTTTTTAAAATTGTACACTGTTTTTCTCTCTTTCAAGTTTTGCATTTACCATGTACATGTGATTTTTTATTACATTTTAGGTTTGGGGGTACATGTGAAGAACATGCAAGATTATTGCATAGGTACATACATGGCAGTGTGGTTTGCTGCCTTCCTCTCCATCACCTATATCTGGCATATCTCCCCATGTTATCCCTCCCCAACTCCCCACCCCCCGCTGTCCCTCCTCTATTTCCCCCTCCAACAGACCCCAGTGTGTGATGCTCCCCTCCCTGTGTTCATATGTTCTCATTGTTCAACACCCGCCTATGAGTGAGAACATGCGGTTTTTCCAAATTATCTCCCTTTCAAATTTGCTGTTCCTATAATTTCCTAATAGGTTTTTAAAAGTTATTTACTTTCACTTTTGTGAATACCAGTACGTTTAAACTTTTCCCATAAGTTTGTGAACCATGTTGCTTTTCCTTGAATACGTTGTCTCACTGTATCTTCTGTATATTATCTATTTATTACTGTTTTACTTTTTTTTTTTTTCTGAGACAGGGTCTGGCTCTATTTCCTAGGCTGGAGTGCAGTGGCCCCATCTTGGCTCACTGCAACCTCCACCTCCTAGGCTCAAGGCATCCTCCCACCTCAGCCTCATGAGTAGCTAAGACTACAGGTACAGCCACCACACCTGGCTAATTTTTGTATTTTTTATAGAAATGGAGTCTTTTTTTTTTTTTAGATGGAGTCTTACTATGTTGCCCAAGCTGGTCTCGAATTCCTGAGCTAAAGCGACGCACCCACCTAGGCCTCCCAAAGTGCTGAGAGTAAAGGTGTGAGCCATTGCACTCTGCCCTGTTTTACTTTTTATGCATATAAATTATTTAGAAAAAGTATTAATCTGTTGTCATATTAGCAGCAAATTTACAACAAGCTGCAGTTTGAATGTAATTTTGGTCATTCTTTTCACAGAATAAATTAGATTTTAATATTTATGCAAACAAACCTTCTAGCCTTTCTCTTGATTTCTTCCATTACTCTAAAGTTTAGAAAGTCTTTCAGTTATTTGTTTAATATACAGTTATATTTTACATTAACTTTGTGATTTCATTAATTTCTTTGAAATTTACTCCGTGTGACATATTTCATTTGTTCTTTCAAGCAATATTTATTGATTCCCAGTGATTTTGCAACACTTGTTTTCAAATATTTAACTTTGTACTCCTCAAATTAGAGGACCTGCCCTCAAGACAAAACATGAGATAAATATGATGTATCATCTGGGAACACCATTGTTACTGAAAAATTAGAGGTAAATTATTTAAAAGATTATGTTGGCCAAGTGCAGCGGCTCACACCTGTCATCCCAGCATTTTGGGAGGCCAAGGCAGGCAGATTACCCAAGGTCAGGAGTTCAAGACCAGCCTGGCCAACGTGGTGAAACCTCATCTCTACTAAAAGTACAAAAATTAGGTGGGCATGATGGTGAATACCTGTAATCCCAGCTATTCAGGCAGCTGCGGCAGGAGAATTGCTTGAACCAGGGAGGCAGAGGTTGCAGTCAGCCAAGATCATGCCATTGCACTCCAGCCTGGGCATCACAGTGAGACTCTGTTAAAAAAAAATTTAAAAAAAGATTATGTTGCACTATAATTAATATGAATATATTTTGTAGTAAAATAAAAATTATCAATCAAGTGTTTTTAGAACAAACACAGGATTGTTTGTATTTCCAGCAGACCACAACCACCTGGGACCACCGTGCACCCATCATCCAGATTTCAGGGAGGAAAGGAAAGGGGTCCTGTTCATTCTTCTTGCTCTGTAGGAATGCATCTGCAGAAAGTCTGAGAATCTCTGATTAATTAATACAATTGATACAACACAATTTAAGAAATAATACTATTCTCCATTGATTTAGAAATTCTTTTTTGCCCTATTCAAAATTATTCTTTATTTAAGTCTATTTCTTACTTTTTTCACTCTTTTTACTTGCTGTCATTATTGGTATTGTTTTGGGGTTTTTTTGTTTTTTTTGAGACGGAGTTTCGCTCTTGTTACCCAGGCTGGAGTGCAATGGCGCAATCTCAGCTCACCGCAACCTCCGCCTCCCGGGTTCAGGCAATTCTCCTGCCTCAGCCTCCTTAGTAGCTGGGATTACAGGCACGTGCCACCATGCCCGGCTAATTTTTTGTATTTTTAGTAGAGACGGGGTTTCACCATGTTGACCAGGATGGTCTCGATCTCTTGACCTCATGATCCACCCGCCTCGGCCTCCCAAAGTGCTGGGATTACAGGCTTGAGCCACCGCGCCCAGCCCATTATTGGTATTGTTATTGGCTATCTATACTAGCCCAGTAATATTCTTACAGCAGTAACAAATAAGTTGCCATCCATTGTGACAGCTATCCTTTTCATTGTTCCTCTTTGTCAAAAAAATAATCATCATCATTCATGTATTCAACATTATTCAGTGTCTGGGATGTGGCAGGCACTGTTCAGCATTGGAGATATAACAGTGAAAATAAAACTCACTGGTTTCATGAGGTTTGCATCCTAGAGGAGAGAAAAGATGATTATCATTTAAATAAGATGTCCAGAAAAAGCCTTTGAAGGTAACCTTTTGATACTTTGAAAAGTTATGAGAAAACATGAAAATAATATATGTGAGGCCAAAGGTGCCATGTACTGTTTTTGGAAATGTACTCAACATTTCAGTCTGACTAAAAGAAATAGCTAAATGAGAAATAAAAACTTATTTTTAAAAAAGACAGATATTGGCCAGGTGCAGTGGCTCACACCTGTAATCCCAACACTTTGGGAAGCGGAGGCAGGTGGATCACTTGAGGTCAGGAGTTTGAGACCAGCCTAGCCAACATGGCAAAACCCCATCTCTACCAAAAACACAAAATTAGCCAGGCATAGTGGCAGGCACCTGTAATGCCAGCTACTCAGGAGGCTGAGGCAGGAGAATCACTTAAACCCAGAAGGTGGAGGTTACAGTGAGCCAAGATCATGCCACTGCACTGCAACCTGGGCAACAGAGTAAAACTCCATCTCAAAATAAATAAGTAAATTAATTAATTAAAATTGAAAAAGACATATTTTAGTTTTGGACATGTTCAATTGAGTGTACCTCATGATACCAGAAAAAGTGGGACACATAACCAGAAATAAGAGGGAGCTACATTCTGTTTGTTTTTATCTAGCTACATTATAGTGAGGATGAACACTACTAATATGTCAGCACCCATTCAGTATTAAATAATGATGAGAACATGCCAGGAATCAGGCTAGGTGCTTCACATCCATTATTTCAAACATATTGATGGATCTGTGTATTCAGTGCATTTTACCTAGCCCCTTTCCTTAAATGCCCATTGACAAAACATTAAAAACGATGAAATATACATAAGTGCTGGATGCAAGGAGCAGCACAAGTCATAGCTCTAAAAACTGAGCAACTTTTTCAAGATATTATAAAGAAGATAGGCTTGAAGGATAATCCAATCAACCCATGTGTTACTGCCTACATGATAAAAGCCCACCTGAGACAGCTCAAAGGACAAATGCGCCATTAGACTTACACTTATAAAGCAGTGGCAGGGGTCCTGGGGAGTAGAAAGAGGTCAAAGAGTAAAATAATGAAGGGTAATTCTGATCATGAATTATTTGAGGAAGAATGGGCTTCCATTTTGATGGTGATTCTGATGATATCGATGATAATGAGCACCAAGTGAAAAAATAAACACCAACTGTCTCTGCAAGGCATCTCAGAGAGTAAACAACTGTTTTTAAACAAAATTTTTAATCTTAGAAACAAAGTATGGTTTGTTCGCATGCCATTAGAAGAATACCAAATAGCTTCATTGTCATTTTTAAGGAAGTAAACCACTGATCTTAGGTCACCAAACTACTCTCCCTGTTAGAATGGTACAATTACACAAAGAGATGGTAATATAGAAGCAATTCAGGCACAGAAGTGGATATGACTATGGAACTCTCCAGCTAGTGCTCCAGCTGGGGTCTCAATCTGGACGATGTACCATTCTTACTAGCAAAAGATATCCTGGCTTCTGGCTTGGCAAAAAATTCCAAATCAACCCTGACCTCCTTATCTGCTCCTGGAAGATTTAATAATTCCAATATCATCAGTGCCAAAAGAGACCTTAACATACAATGTTAGAAACATATAACTTTCCCTTTAAAGTGCTGTGAAAAATAGAAAAAATATGGGACAAATGAAAAGATTCAGCACTTCAAGAAGGAAGAAAAGAAGGAAAAGAATATGATGAGTGATTGAACAAATTATTTCTAGAACAGAAGAAAAAAATAGATTTCTAGAAAACTTAAAACTTTCTACACATAAGAAACTATTTAAAGGGTAATACCTGAGTTCGGAAAAATATTGTCTTTCACCACAATATTTGGGAGGAAATAGGAGAAATAAAATGCTCTGCTGGCTACTTTTCAGCTGCTGGTTCTTGGTAGCTGCTGCCTTTTTTCCCACCAGAGGATTCTTCTGCTTCTTAACATCAACAACAGCCTTCTTTTCCATTTTTTGTTTGTTTGTTTGTTTTTGTTTTGTTTTTTTGAGACAGAGTCTCACTATGTCACCCAGGCTGTAGTGCAGTGGCACGTAATCTCTGCTCACTGAACCTCTGCCTTCCCGGTTCAAGCTATTCTCCTGCCTCAGCCTCCTGAGTAACTGGGATTACAGGCACATAGCACCACACGCAGCTAATTTTTGCATTTTTAGTAGAGACACAGTTTCACCATGTAGGCCAGAGTGGTCTCGATCTCCTAACCTCTTGATCTGCCCATCTCGGCCTCCCAAAGTGCTAGGATTACAGGCGTGAGCCACTGTGCCCAGCCCCTTCTTTTTTTTCTTACCTACCACAGGCTTCTTGCCTGCAACCCCCTTCTCATCTGATTTGGCTTCTAGTGCTGCTGCTGCCACTGCTGCCTTATCCACCTGGAGCTTGTGACTCCTGGCCTAGAAAAGAACGGTGTTCTGGCATGGTCTGTGCATAATACGGGTTTAGCTTCAACATGATTCTCAGATTTTTCAGTGGATTCTTCTTTAGAACTCTGCAATGAATTTTCATGGTGCTCAAAGGGCTCTCTGAATCTCTGGGCTTTTTAAGATTTTGCTAAGTCTGTATTGATCATCTTGTGCATGGGAAGATATAGTGAGTTACCCTTGAGGGAAGCAGCTTTACACCAAGTGCCATCCAATTCATCTAACTTCCTGAAAGCACTTTCAGTCCAAATGCAGAAACGTCTCACATGCCCACCAGGAGCAAGTTTCAAAATGTTCGGTTTGCTTACATTAAGCAGAGTAATTCCAGGGATGTTTCTGAAGGCCTTGACAATACCACTATCCTCATTATTGATGATGCAGAGGCCCTGGCCCTGGATATGCAGCCGTTTCTCGTTTTGCCCTCCCTAGCTCTCATTCACTGGGAGGCATAGACCTTTTCAATATCTTTCCAGGCTTTAAGTTTCTTAAGAAACAGAACCGTTTCCTCAGTCTTCTTGTAGCCTTCAAGTTTATCTTCGACTACCACAGGAAGTTCAGGAACTTCCTCAATACGATGACCCTTAGACCTGGCCAGTGCTGGTAAGGCCGCCGCAGCCAGGGAAGAACAGATGGCATATCGTTTGGGGTTGTGTTCACTTTATGATGCCAACGGCTCTGCGTTTTGGTTGGTGCCAACATTTGGCCTCCACGACACATTTCCAAAAGCACCCTGACCAGAAAGGTGAGTCCCACCACCTCAAACTCTGGGAATTCAAGCCACAGCTCTACCAGTAACCCGAGACTCACCACCGGTCGGATGACCTGCTAATTCACTGACACCATAGGGCTGTCTGTTGTCTTTGTGAAAGTTAATGTGAACAAAATTCACAGTATCTAGTCAAATAGGAGCCTTGAATACAGCAGACAAGTGGCATTTTTGCCAGATGACTCCCGCTTTTTGGAGTAGACTGGTAACAGGGGGCAACCACACACCATGGCAGAGAGAGGAGAGAGCCATGCTCCTCTCATTCCAGCTGCTGCCACAGGAAAAGTAATTCTAATTTTTTTAATGAAGAAGAAATCCTAAATGTTAACTATAAATTATCCGTATGATAGGATTATAAGACATTTTTATTTTCTATTTTATAATTTTCTATTTTTTCCTATACCATGCAGTTAATATATTTATAATTAGAAAAAGTTAATAAATACTAATATTAAAAGATAAGAGACTCCATCAAGAAGAAAATTCTCTGACATTGGCACCAAGATGTCCTTGGTAGGGGAGAAATCATTCAGATGACTTTATGGCACCCATAAAGTCAACCCTAAGACCAGGATATCAACTAAGAAATCGTTAATTCCCAAAAAGTTTAATCAAAGTGTTCTGAAACTTCTTAGGTCATCTTGAAACTGACCTTTTAGGATGTTTTATAATGTCCATACATTAAAAATACAATACAGCAAAATCCCTGACTTAAAGGTTAGTGCCAAAGGAAACAGAGTGTGGCTTCGGCCCCAGGCACAGGTTTGGGTACAAGATACAGGTGCCTGAGAAGCAATGTGTACTCTCTGCACAGGAGTAGATAGCTGAGTCCCCAGTCTGTGTTTCTGCAATTTGCAGAGAGAGATGTTTATTCTTCTTATCCAATTGAACAGTGAGTCTTTGGTCTTGTTTCGTGTCCGTATTTGAAAGAATATATGCCAGCAGCTGGAGACTTGCTCCAGGATCTTGCTTATACCAATATAAGTAGCTGGAGGAACTGTCTGTGTAAGTGCAGTTTATAACAACGCTGTCTCCCTCTCGGACACTCAGGAAAAGACTCTGTTTCATGTCCTGTCCGCTACTCATACCTGTGCCAAAGGAAAAGTCAGAGAAGATCATCAGGTCATCGTTCTCTAGAATTTGCTTTTTTATTTTCTTCACTGTAGTAACTTCAGGGATTCTGGAAAAGACCAGATGAGCCTCCTCCTCAGACTTCCAATGAATTACTTACTAAACACTCTGTTCCCCAAAAGCTCTCAACTCACAGTCTAGCTGCAGCCACAGAAACAGAAACGAAGATCCAGTAAGTGTCTTCATTGTTCTCCCCGCTGGGACCTGCAAGCCAAGAAAACGACTTCTATTATCGAGTATCTCTTCCTTTCCTCCAAAGCACTGTGGTTTCTTAAACTGTCCACAGATGCCATCTGCTTCTATCGTTAGCCTACTCACAGAAGTCAACTGAAAGGATCCTTTCATACGGTCTACATGAGCAGAGAAGCTCTGCCATCTTGTGGTCAGATCCCCAAATGCTAAACCAGTTATTCTGTATCCGCGGAAGATTCTGGCACATAAAACAGCAGAAGGCCAAATAAAGTAAATTCGAAGTGTACCTCAGTCAGAAATTATGTGGATTAGCAGAGGGCAAAATGCAAACGTAGGTTTCAGAATCCCTTCTTATCTTCTCGGCACACTACTAAGTCATTTTAAATATATTTGAAGAAGTTAGAGTTTTTTCATGTTTATTAACGACAGTCTATTTGAAATCAAGAAAATGCCATAATTTAGTCTACAAAGCTACTGAGGAGTAAAACCTTTCCTTCTTATCCCTGTACTACTTTTTGAATTGGCCAGAAAATCAATCAGCGAAATTGACCATCCTGGTTCAGCCATCACAGAGGAAACACTTTGTAAAGATAACATTTAAGCACAAAAATCGGAGTAAAACAGGTTCACTGAATATATCAGATACATGCTATTTGAAGCTCTGCTTCTCCAAGCCTGGCATTGCTCCTGTTCTTGCCATTCCCAGGAAATCGACAGTTCCATAGGTCAAAACATGAGTGTTTTCTTCTTTAAAATGACTAAATTATACAGTAAAAGATAAAAGGAGGGAGAAAGTTTTCATGGGTTAATAATATCGGTCTAATGAAAGGGAAGAGTTTAGTCTATAGACTGATGAAAAATCTGACATGCGTTCTGAAACTTTTCCTCTGGAAGAACAGATCATCTGAAATTATAGATATGTGCCTTACTTATTGCAAAGTATTGGCATAAAAGGAAACATTTCAGAAAACAACCGACTACTGATTGAGATAATGTAAACAAGTATACATCTTTTCCAAGTGTATTCTTATTCCTATTGTCAGAATGAGTAGCTTGTCCTCAAATGTGATCACTGAATAATGATCCATAGCAGAATTTCCCGTCCTGTTACCTTGGACACTGCTAACTTAGATTTCAGACGCAAAAACGTTTCCCTTGATTTTATTGCCTATTGCTAAAAATCATTGTTAAGATGTCATCCTGTGATAAAGTCCTTCAGTAATTTAAATTCTCTATCCAAACCATACATCATCTATTTTAATTTCTTCAGTCTTTCTGATTCATTCCTGTAAGAATAAATATAAGTAAGCATAAAACCAATGCCAGTTAGTAGCATAATATATGTAGGAAACTGCCAATGGCAAGTTTACTCTCTGTCCAGGGATTCTTATTCTGACTGGTTTTCACAAGTTGAAGTCCATTCCCTGTGCTTGACTTAGCATATCTCCAAGCAATGTAGAAAATTAATCTAATCTACATGACATAACCGATGTATCTCAAGTGAGATTATGCAGAATCACATTCCTGAAATACAAAAATATGTACATATTACCAAGTGTATGTAGATTTATATACATTAAATGTATTTAAATTTTTCATTTAATTGTTTTATTCTTTCACTCATTCATCATAAAATATAATCCCCAGATCCTTTATCATATTTTTTGGTTGCATTTTTCTTGAACTTTTCTTAACACTTGAGGTCAATATCTGTCCTTCAGGTATACAGCATCCAGAGTTGAAAATACTAGTCTTTAGGTGGTCTGCTTCTGTTCCACATATTAACTATAACACTACTCACAATTATGACCTGGAAAAATTTCTACCTTTATGATTTTTTCATAAAATATTGCCTTATTGTCAAGCACAATGGCATGGAATAGCTTTATTTTCTAATCCTGTCATGGATTTCAACATGCATAAGCAATGCTCATTTTGCTCCCAATGTATCCACTTTTTCTTTTCCCTTGATCATTTTCTTTCAGTCTATATGTGATGCACATTATATTTATAAATACAGGATGATGAGTATAATTTGTTACTAATAATATGAAGTACAAAGTACGCCTGAATGATGAGGCTGGTTATAAACAGTTCTTAGCTTACTCTTACTTATGTTAGAGAGCGAATTACTGATTTCCTTGTAGTATCAGAGTGGCCGACCCTAGGTCTTCTATTCTTTTCAAAATTCTGAACACGTATTGCCTGGTTGGCATAGATCAAGTGGTCATACACATGGTGAGGGGCCACATAGTGTATGTCCATGCTGTGGGACAGTGTCTCCCTGCTGGCACACCAATGTAAGACCATAGTAACTTGGCACACAGTATTCAGTGAATGTCTCTTCAGTTAAATTGAATCTCAGCATTTCAGAGCTATTAGAACCCTTAGGATTCTCTAGTCCATGGTTTTTCAACATTGGCACTATTAACATTTGTACAAAATAATTCTTGTTTGGAAGCTATCCTGTCCATTACAAGATGTTTAGAACATCTCTGACCTCTCTCCACTGAAAGCCAATTTCAACTCTGTACGACAATAAAAAATATCTGCAGATATTCCAAAATATCCCCTGAAGGACAAAATTCATCCCTGATGAGAACCACTGTTCTAGCCCAATCTCACTAACAAATAAAAACATGAATCTAAGGTAAGTTTAGAGTCTCAACAAAATAAAACAATTAGCTAGTTAAAAAAAAAAAAACCTAGAACTTGAACAATCTATTTTCCCCACCTCCCTTCATCATTCTGTTTACTTCAGCACTCCAGGACCACATTGCTAATCAAAAAGGTACAAATTCAGGAACTGTGCTAAAATGCAAATCCTGAATCACCAAGACTGGAGTTTGGCCTAAGACTCTCCATTTCTAACAAATTCCAGAGTAATACTGATGCTGATGATTCAATGTGGATGACTTACAGATGGGACCAGGCTGCTCTCCTTCGATTTTCTGGTTTGTGTTGGGTTAGAATTAATTCTTCATTAACTGTTCTATTCAACTCACCTTTGAAGCTTTCTGAGCCTAGAATTTTTCTGTTAAATTTTATCATTTTTTAGTTTAAAATATCTTCTAACTTTCCTTATAAATTCTTCTTTTATCAGTGAATGACACAGAAGTATATTGCTTAATCTGCAAATATTTGGGGATTATCTACTGCATACCTTGTTATTGACTTCTAAATTAATTCTGTTGTGGTCAGAAAACTGTGATTCTAATCTTTTCAAATCTATTGAGACTGTTTTACATCTAAAAATATGGTCTATTTGACGAATGTGTGCTTGGAAAGAATATATACGGTGCACTTGGTAGACACAGTTCTCTATAAATGTCAATGATGTCTAGCTGGTTGTTCCAGCCTTGTATAGCTTTACTGACTTTCTGTCTACTTGTTCTATTAATTACTTAGAGAAGAGCATTACATTCTCCAACTCTGATTATAGATTTGCCTGTTTCTCCTTTAATTCTGTTAATTTTGTTTCATATATTTTATAACTCTGCTATCAGTACATAAACGTTTAGAGAATATTATCTCTTCTTGATCAAGTAACCCTCTGTTCATTATTAAATAATCCCTTGATCTCATAACACCCCTCATCCCAAAATATTCTTTAATATTAATAGAGACCCATAGCTTTCTTATGGTTACTAACTGCATGGCATATGGTTGCTATTCAGGTGGCATAGGTTGCCTCTTACTTTCAACTTCTCTTTGTCTTTGAAGTACATTTTTTGTGAATGACATATAATTGCGTCTTTTTATCTAGTTTGACAATATCTCCCTTTTATTTGGAATGTTTATGCTATTTATATTTAATGTAATTATTTTTATTTGGTTTGAATCCACAATCATAATCCATATTCTATGTTTTTCCTTTAGTCTTTGTTAATATGCCCTTTATTCTTCCTTCTTTTATTTGAGAGGTTTCTTTTTTTTTTTTTTTTTTTTTTTTGCTTTGTGAAGATTATTCTACCTTTTATTTATTTTATTTTATTTTATTTTTTTGTAGGAAGGGAGGAAGGCAGGAAGGGAGGAAAGGAGGGAGGGAGGGAGGGACAGAGGGAGGAAGAGAAGGGGAGGAAGGAAATCAGGCAATAAGAAAGACATTGCCGACCTGGATCTAGAGGTCTACAACTTGATTTCTTTTTTTTTAATTTATTTATTTTTTTTTTTTGAGAGAAGGAAAGAAAAAAAGGAGTGAAGAAGAGGAAGAAACAGGAAGAAAAAGAGAGAGAGAGAATGGAAATGTTGCTTTATTCTAAAAAAAAATGGGTATTAATAATAATGGCCAATCAATATTTCATTAAACCTGTGAGTAGGTGTGATGTGGTATTGACAAGAATGTATATTTTGTGTATTTAAAGTGGAGAGAGCTCTGTAAATATTTATTAAGTTTACTTGTTCCGGGTCTGAGTTCGAGTCCTTGATATCCTTATTAATTTTCTGTCTCATTGAGTCTAAGTCTCTATGTATCTGGGTGTTAGGATCGTTAGCTCTTATTGTTGCATTGATCCTTTTACCACTATATCTTTGTTGCTTTAAAATCTATTTTATCTGCTACGAGAATTGCATCTCCTGCTTTTTCTTTCTTTATTTATTTATTTTTGCTCTCCATTTGGTTGGTAAATCTTCCTCCATCCCTTTGTTTTGAGTCTTTGTGTATCCTTGCATGTGAAATGGGTCTGGATGTAACATGCCGTTGGGTTTTGGCTGTGTCTTTTGATTGGGGGATTTAGTCGATTTAAATTTAGGGTTACTGCCATTTGATGTTACCTGGCTGTTTTATCCATTCGTTGATGAAAATTCTTCTTTATGTTGGTGCTCTTTACTTTTTGGTATATTTTTAGAAAGGCTAATACTGGTTGTTTCTTTCTATGTGTAATGCTTCTTTCAGAAGCTCTTGTAAAGCAGGCCTGGTGGTAATAAAATCTCTGAGTGCCATTCGTCTACACCAATAACAGACTTAAAGAAAGCCAAATCAAGAGCGAACTGCCATTCGCAATTGCTACAAAAAGAATAAAATACCCTGGAATACAACTCACAAGGAACGTAAGGGACCTCTTCAAGGAGAACTACAAACCACTGCTCAACGAAATCAGAGAGGACACAAACAGATGGAGAAACATTCCATGTTCATGGTTAGGAAGAATTAACATCGTGAAAATGGCTATACTGCCCAAAGTAATTTACAGAATCAATGCTATCCCCATCAAGCTACCATTGACTTTCTTCACAGAACTGGAAAAAACCACCATGAACTTCATATGGAACAAAAAAAGAGAGCCCGCATAGCCAAGTCA